TCTCTCTCTCTCTCTCTCTCTCTTAGAAATAAATAAAAATATTAAAAAAATAAAAAATAAAAAAAAGTTAACATTTAAGAAAAATGTATATATATGTATGTTTATTATTTGTCTAAATGGCATGTAGTGGAAATGTAGCTTTAGTTTTTCAAATAAGTGTGCAAATATCGTAACAATATGTTTTAAATAAACTTTTCTTTTCCAACTGATTTTTATTTTTTTAATTTTTATTTAAAAAATTTTTTAAATGTTTACTTTTGACAGAGAGAGTGACAGAGAAAGACAGAATGTGAGCAGCAGAGGGACAGAGAGAGAAGGAGACACAGAATCCAAAGCAAGCCGCAGTCTCTGAACTGTTAGCACAGAGCCGGTCGTGGGGCATGAACTCACGAACCTCAAGATCATGTCCTGAGCCGAAGTCGGAAGTTTAACTGACTGAGCCAGCCAGGCGTCCCCAGCAACTCATTTTTAAATTCATTTTTACTCACACTAAGTTTCTAATATTTTTCATACCCATAAATCTTTCTCTCTATATTCTATATACAAAAAGATCTAACCAATTTTATCTCTATTTGTCTTCTGCCCTCCCTACATGTCAAATACTTTGCAACATTTTGTAGTCTCTGTTCATAATCTGCCTCATAGCTTCAATTTTACTCTCTGGTTATGACTAAAACCAAACTATAATTGCATTTTTTTCCCAACCAATAGAATTAATCCTAGCATTAAATTCAATTTCATTTATCTTTCTTCTTTTTCACTATCACAGGAAACTTGTATACATTATCTGGTTATAAGTTAGATTACTTTTTTAATGTTTATTTAATTTGAGAGAGAGAGGAAGATGAAGAGGGGAGGGCAGAGAGAGAGGGAGAGGGAGAATCCCAAGGAGGCTTTGCACTGTCAACACAGAGCCTGATGCAGGCCTAGAACTCATGAACTGTGAGATCATGACCTGAGACAAAATCAGGAGTCAGACACTTAACTGACTGAGCCACCCAGGTGCCCCATCAGTCAGATTGTTTAAGCATATTTTTATTTACTTTATAGATTTATTTTTTAATGTTTAAGCTTTCCATTTGAAACATGGCTTAACTCTGCTTTGTTTAGATCTTTTAAAAAAATTGATGCATTTTCTTTCAATGTTTCTTCCATATTTCTGTAATTTTATTATTGTATAAATAAGTATGTCTTTCATAACAATTTGTTCTTTTCTTTCCTTTCAAGTTTATCTGAGATAGAGAAGAGAGAGTGCACAAAAGCAGGGGAGGGACAAACGGGGAGGAGAGGGAGAGAATCCCAAGCAGTCTCAGTACTGCCAGCTCAGAGGCCAATGTGGGGCTCAAACTCATGAACGGGGAGATCATGGCCTGAGCTGAAGTCTGATGTTTAACTGACTGAGCCACCTAGGTACCTCTGCTTATATTTGTAAATACAATACTGTATCTAGAGAAAAAAAAGTAAATTGTTACTTTTTAAAATGTAGTATTTGTGTGTATTCTAAACACTTATTAGTACTGATAATTCATATTATTCATTGTATTTAGCAATTTTATGCCTGCATGCTCTCTGAATATTAGACATGTGATGTGATTTCCATAAATACATCCAGGATTATATTTCATCTTTTTTTTTTTTTAAACTGGCTCAACGCCCAGTGTGGAGCCTAACATGGGACTTGAACTCACAACCCTGAGATCAAGACCTGAGGTGAGATCAAGAGTCAGATGCTTAAGTAACAGAGCCATATAGGCAGGTAAATTTCATCTTATTGATGAACTATGCCTGAAATATATTTAAAAGTGGTGGTATGCAGCACTGTGATCTTATTACAGAACAATTTTTAAAAAAATTTTTATGTTTACTTATTTTTGAGAGAGACAGAGACAGTATGAGCAGGGGTGGGGGGCAGAGAGAAAGGGAGAGAGAATCCCAAGCAGGCTCCTGTCTGCCAGCACAAAGCCTAATGCGGGGCTTGAACCCATGAAACCGTGAGATCATAACCTGAGCTGAAACCAAGAGTCGGATGCTTAACCGACTAAGCCACCCAGGCGCCCCTCAGAACAATTTTTAATATTTAACCACTATAATACAAAAAGAAAGAAGAAAAGAAAGGCAAAAACAATACCCCAATATCCAGGAATTTTGTAAAAAATAAAAGTTGTTGCTAGGCAATATCTCCTTAATACACTGCATCTTTATTGCTGAGGCCCATGCTTGGCAGCCCAGATGTTACTCCTAAACAATAGATGTGTATATCGTGTTTTCATTGGAAGCTTGTTTTTATAAAAATTGAGATTACAGAAACCAATCTGGGTTTATTGGTACAGTAATACAGGTCAAATATTGGTCAGAGCTCGGAAATATCTACCCACTTGGTTGGGTCTTGTATTTTTCACTTTACAATTCTACCTATGTGGCTGGCTTTGCTTTTTTCACTTTCCTCGCTCATCATGAAGGCACTTAAATTGTTGGTGCTGGCTTTGGAAAAATACTAAAAAAAAGAGTAAGATCAATAGATTTCAAAGAACCTATATCTGGAAGTGACAGGGTGAATATGCAAAATAAGACAGGATGGTGCTGTAGACGATGAAAGAAGAAAATTGGAGCAAACAGCAAACTTAATATTTGCCAGTTGTTACCACAAATACTTTCCAACTTTAATATAGACCTTTACAAACATCCGCCACAGAGAAGAGGGTAATGGTAGGAACCACATGAACCCGTCCCACAGCTCCAACAGAAACTGTCCAGGGCTAGTTCATTTCATCTCCAAACCCGTCCCATCTTCCCTGCAGCAAAAATCCATAGGTCCCTGTATTGCCTTCTGGACCCATCCATTACGTTTTTGTTTTGTTTTTTTTTAATGTTTTATTTATTTCTAGGAGAGAGAGAGAAACACACACATGAGCAGGGGAGGGTCAGAGAGAGAGGGAGTCACGGACTGAAACAGGCTCCAGGCTCTGAGCCGGCAGTCAGCACAGAGCCCGACGCGGGGCTCGAACCCACGAACCGCGAGATCATGAGCTAAGCGAAAGTCGGACGCTTAACCGACTAAGCCACCCAGGCGCCCCTGGACCCATCATTATGATATGCATCCTGGTCCTCCCACCTATGGGGCCCACAGTCATTAAAGACTATTGCCTCAATTTAGGGTACGTTCCACCCTGTCCCCCTTTTCTCTTATTAGGTTAAAACTTCTACAAAAAGAACGTTTAGATAGCAAAAAAGATCTTAATCCTTTCTCTTTATTTCCCCCTTTATAGCGTGTTGATTTGGTCTTCTATCATTCTCCAAATCTAAGGTTATTTTTTTATTTATTTAATTTTATTTTTTTTAATATTTTTTATTTATTTCTAGGAGAGAGAAAGACAGGGTGAACAGGGGAGGGTCAGAGAGAGAGGGAGTCACAGACTCTGAAACAGTCTCCAGGCTCCGAGCTGGCAGTCAGCACAAGGCCCAACGCGGGGCTCCAACAAACGAACCGCGAGATCTTGAGCTAAGCGAAAGTCGGACGCTTAACCGACTAAGCCACCCAGGCGCCCCTAAGGTTATTTTTTAAAGTAGTGAGAAAAACGCATTTTAAAAACATGTTTGTTTTAATTTGTTACACTTACTATTTGATGCTGAAAATATCCCACACTTGGTCATTGGGAATCCTTCCTCTTAACTCCTGGCCTCCTGGTTACATAATCTCAGTAGCTCGGGGTGGTTCTTTTGTTTCCTCCTACGGTGGGGCGTTCTGAGATAGTTCTGTCTGTAGCTTCTACTCCAGATATGGATTCACCCATTTCTTCAGGAAGTTCTAATTATCTTTTAATGAAATGTTGTACACTGTATACTATGTGCATGCATTTATGAGCATATATAATTACAGAATCAAAATACTAATTTTTTTACTTACAACATAAGGGCAGTAATTTGTTATTTTGTTTTCACATGTGTTAATATAGAATATATGTTCAAATTGTGGTGCTTAAAATATAGAAATAACTTCTTTGGGTTAAACCTGAATTTGGCACACATTTAGTCTATTTTTTTGTTTGTTTCTTTGTTTTTATGTTTACCTTATGTTTTATAACACTTTTGTCACCATATATATTTAGAAAATATGTAAAAAAATTGTGACAGCAAAGCCACAATCCAGGTATATTGAAAGGAGTCTGACTTCATACTGGATCCTGTGCTCTTTCTCCACTATTGCCTACAAGTGCTCATTTAAAAAAATTTTTTAATGTTTATTTATCTTTGAGAGAGGGAGAGAGACAGACTGCGAGTAGCGGAGGGTCAGAGAGAGAGGGAGACACAGAATCGGAGCAGGCTCCAGGCTCTGAGCTGTCAGCACAGAGCCCGATGCGGTGCTCAAACCCACAAGCCTTGGAGCTCTGAGATCATGACCTTAGCCGAAGACGGACACTTAAACCACCTGAGCCACCCAGGCAGGTGCTCATTTTTAGAATTTGTAAATGTGTTCTTATAGTTTAAAAATTTGGTCATGTACACATAGATAAATGGAATGTAGTTATAATCCCTTTATTAGGAAAATAAGTGAACTTCACACAGGATTTTGACACTTTCTATTTTTTAGAATAATAAATATGCATTTATTTATTTTTATCTATACTGATTATATGTCCTGGAAACACAGCAGGAGAGAGAACTTTACCCATCATGGCTGCCTAGTGCCCTGTGTGAACATGCACTGTGATTCATTCAGCCTCCCGTTGACTGACATTGGGTTGCTTTCAATCTTTTGATTACAAATAGTCCTGTAAAAAATTATTTTGCACATATGAAAGGCATGTCTAAATATTCATATTGAGTTGAGAAATTACATGACCAAAGACGTTTTCTTGGTGTATTCAGAGTAAAAACATTTTCTATTTTAGTCTCCAGATTCCTGTGATTCAAATCAAAACAGCTACCAGTATCCCTTTTAAACTGATGGAATGGTTTCCTCTAACTTAAAGTTGGGTATTGTTTTCCTCACCCAGACTGGAGTTGGGATCCTTGGAAACTCCTTGCTGCTTTGTCTTTATTTCTTTACTTCGCTCACTAGGCAATGTTGAGACCCACAGACTTGATTCTCATCCAGCTAGCCCTAGCTAACAGCTTGGTTCTTTTTCATAAAGGAATTCCTCAGACAATGGCAATGTTTGGGTTGAAATCTTTCCTGGATGATGCTGGATGTAAGCTTGTCTTCTATTTTCACCGAGTGGCCAGAGGGGTTTCCCTCAGCACTACCTGCCTGCTCAGTGGTTTCCAGGCCATTAAACTCAACGTGAATACCTTCAAGTGGTTGGAGCTCAAGGTTACATTCCCGAAGTGCATTGGCTTTTGCTGTTCCCTCTGATGGATCCTGCATCTCCTGTTGAATATCTTTATTGCTTTGCATGTTACTGGGCCAAGAAAGAACAAAAATACGAGTGTGGAGAAAATTTACGAATACTGTAATTCACCCATTCCACACAGATTTGTAGTTTTACTACATGCAGTCATGTTCTCCTTCATTGATGTCACTTATTTGGGCTTCATGGTCTGGGCCAGTGGCTCCAAGGTCCTTGTCCTGCTCAGGCACAAGCAGAGAGTCCAGCACATTCACAGCCACAGCCTTTCCCCCAGACCTTCCCGTGAGGCCAGAGCCACACGCACCATCCTGGCCTTGGTGAGCACATTCATCTGCTTCTATTTTCTCTCTTCCATTTTGTCTTTGTGGGTAACACTGGCTGCGAACCCAAGCCCCTGGCTGATGAACATCTCTGCACTGGCAACTTCAGGCTTCCCAACTGTCAGCCCCTTGGTGCCCCTTGGCAGTGACACCCGTGCCTCTCAGTTTTTCTCTGCTTCTAGGGAAGAAAAATAAGTTTTCCAGGGATGGTGTCTAAAACAGTAAGTTCCCCACAGGACATGCTATCATTTATTCAATCATTCTTTTGGTAGGTTTTTTAAAATGTTTATTCATTTTTGAGAGAGAGAGAGACAGAGTGCAAAGGGGGGAGGAGAGAGAGACAGACAGACAGACAGACAGAATCTGAAGCAGACTCCAGGCTCTGAGCTAGCTGTCAGCACAAAGCCCGACATGGGGCTCAAACCTACAAACTGCGAGATCGTGACCTGAGCCAAAATCGGAAACCTAACCGACTGAGCCACCCAGGTGCCTCTGTTTAATCACTTTTTTTGTGTGTGTTTGTTTGCTCATGTTTTAAGTCCAGATTATCTATTATCACACAGGGACTCAGTATGGAATAACAGCAAAAATAACCCTGGCCTCATACTGCTTATGAGATTGCCAAAATCTTAAATAATATCTACGTGTAAATAATATCTATGTGATGACTTTATAAAATTATAGGGACACCTGGGTGGCTCAGCTGGTTAAGCATTTGACTCTTGGTTTCAGCTTAGGTCATGATCTCGCAGTTTTGTGAGTTTTGAGCCCCATATTGGGCTCTGCGCTGGTAGTGGGGAACCCGCTTGAGATTCTCTCTCCCTCGTTCTCTGTCCCTCCCTTACTCACTCTGTCTCTGTCTCTCTCAAAATAAATAAACTTTAAAAACTAAGACTATATAATGCTATTGATTGGAGAATATCAGGCAATACTGATAATGACATGGAGATTTTTATGTTTAGTTCTGTTGAATCTAACTTTGAAGTGACATCCAGAAGATTCATTGCATTGTCAAAGAATATTGAGTGAAAAGTGTTTCAAGTGAGAAGAAAATGACTGGGAAATACCCCAAATTGGTACAACACAGGTGGACTTAAAAGAATTAAAAGAAGTTTATGAGGTGTAGCAAAGAGTGTGGCGAGGGAGGAAAGTAGGTGGTATCTTCTGACAGGGGGTGGAGGTGGTGTCAATGATTCAAAACTTTTCATAGGAAAGATCATGGGTCTCTGAGAATTTTTGTCCACTGAAATCAAAACTGTGATAAAAAAAATAAAAATAAGCCCCCTGCGTCGGGCTCTGTGCTGACAGCTCAGAGTCTGGAGCTTGCTCTGGATTCTGTGTCCCCCTCCCTCTCTAACCTCTCTCTCTCTCTCTCAAAAACAAATAAATATTGAAAAAAATTTTAATAAATAAATACAAATAAAAATAATTTAATTAGAGAGGTAGTTCCGGTTCCGTTGTTGCCGTTTTCGTTCCTGGTGTTCGGTTGTCGCGGTTGGTGGGTAGTAACCGAGCCAACATGCTGCAGAATCTGCTGGCTCTTCGTCAGATTGCCCAGAGGACCATAAGTACTGCTTCACGCAGGCAGTTTGAAAATAAAGTTCCAGAGAAGCAAAAGCTATTTCAGGAGGATAATGGAATTCCAGTGCATCTAAAGGGTGGAGTAGCTGATGCCCTCCTGTATAGAGCCACTATGATACTTACAGTTGGTGGAACAGCATATGCCATATATCAGCTAGTTATGGCTTCATTTCCCAAGAAGCAAGACTGACTTCAGTTTATCATCTCAACAGGCAGTTGGTTCAGTTTCATTCAGCTCTCTATGGACCAATAATTGATAAATAACTGAGTTCTTCGGGGATCTGACTTATACTAACTGCCTCCAATAAAGCAGTCTTTACCATGCAAAAAAAAAAATTTAATTAAAATAATTTAGTACAGATTGTAGTTTAGCACTCTTTCACCTTAGTTTACAATTTTTTTCGCCTAAATAAGTGGTAAAATAACATTTCCAATTTAGCAATATTTAGGGGTGAGAGCTGACAAAGAGTCTCTCCCTGACCAAACTTTAGTAGGCTCCTCAGAATCCTATTCCCAACTAGACATCAACATTTGGACTTCTGTGCCCACCTTTGCATTGCCCAATTGTAGCAAAAATCCTACTAAGTTGGTTTAGGCAGAATCCACCTCTGCTTAACAGCTCCTTGAATATCTGATCAAATTGCTCATCCCACCCCGCCACCAGGTGATACTGATCACCATGGCCTGCTTTCCCCCCTTACTCCAATGTTTCCCCTTAGTATGTTTCCATTCACTGACTCCCACAGTTTCTTGGCTATGAACTCCTACTTGTTCATGCTGTGTTTGGAATTGAACCACTTTCTATACTGAGGTCTCTTCCCCCCATTACAATAGTTCCTTATTAAAATCTGCTTATACTGCTTTAATTACTGTTCAGCTCTGGTTTTAAGTTTTTAATGTTTGTTTCTGAGAGAGAGACAGAGCGTGAGTGGGGGAGAGCAGAGAGCAAGGGAGACACAGAATCTGAAGCAGGCTGCAGGCTCTGAGCTATCAGCACGGAGCCTGACACGGGGCTCAAACTCACAAACCACGAGATCACGACCTGAGCCGAAGTTGGACGCTCAGATGGCTGAGCCACCCAGGTGCCCCTAGTTTTCTTTAATAGATCTCAAAAATTATTATTTTTTATGAAATAAAATTAATTTTTAGAAAATTTTGTCAGTTGCTGGTACTTAAAGGAAACTTTCAAAGGGTTTTATTTTCATTTCACCTTTATTTTCCATCTTTAATCACTTGACTTTTATGATCACTAACTTCATAAATATAATACTTGGTCATTAAAAATACATGTGACTAAAAGTACAATTCTGCATTTCTATGATGTCTATAACTAAAACTGTGTTAAAATTAATTTTATTGTATTTTTGAAACTGTCTCATGGAAAATACAGTTTAATGTATATAAAAATAAAACCTGTACTTAAATTATCCATATATAATTTTTCTTAAAGTTTATTTTGAGAGACAGGGAGAGAGAGAGCAGGGGAGAGACAGAATTCCAACCAGGCTCCATGCTGTCAGTGCAGAGCCTTACGTGGGGTTCAATCACCCCAACCGAACAGTGAGATCATGACCTGAGCTGAAATCAGGAGTCAGACACCTAACCAACTGAGCCACCCAGGCACTCCTAACAAATCATTTTAGTCCAATATATTTAAGCAACATATTTGTTATGAATGATAAATCATACATTTCTGGCCTCTAGTAAACTCAAGAGAATTCCTGTGCCTCAAAGAAAGAGCTGTTCTTTTTCTTCATTAGCCCATTGTCCTTTAATTGAAAATCTGCACACTCTCTTTAAGGAGTTTAACTGTTAATATTTTTCATGGGTTTAGGTTTTATAAGCACCCAGTGGCTTACCTTGAATGGGGGCGAGGGGAGTCCATTACCTAGGAATATTGACTCATTTGTTTCCTGAAGAAAATTGCATGCCCTAAATCATTCTAGGGCCATGTACCAGGCAAGTCCACTGGAATTGTTCAAACTAGACAGTTCTCAGCTGTTTCCTCTGCCCTGCCCTGCCTTTCCTGCACAAAACACATTAAAGGCTCTGGGCTAGGCCTTTCCTTGACTCCTGCTTCTGCTTCCTAACCAAATCCCGGTGTTCTTTCTGTGACCTGTCATATTATGCTGTGGTTCTCATTTCTGGGGAAACAGTGAGTAACACTAAACTTTTCTCTCAGCGTCATTGACCTATCATGTCGTCACTATGTCATCTTTATAAACTAAGACGTGGGCCCAAATCAGCTTGCCTTGGCCGTATAATACTACATCTCACGCCCCATTTCTCAGCACCGTCATCTTCTCCCTTTTCTGTTGTACCCAACACATTCTAACATTATACATAGTTTTTTTTCCAAATTTCTTCCTGTCTTTCATGTATACTGTAGAGTGTAAGTTTCCTGATGGCTGGGGTCTTTGTCTCTTGTTTTCAAATTTGTTCCATGTACTTAATATAAGGCCTCAAATGCAATAGATGTTCATTGAATTTTTATTAGAGCTGTGAATAACATGGTATTACAGTATCCTTGTTCATCTTTCTAAATGTTTTCATCCTCCCTCAGAGTAGATAATCAGAGTTTTCAAGTTTGGAAAGAAATTACATTTTGGAGGGGCGCCTGGGTGGCTCAGTTGGTTGAACTTCTGACTTCGGCTCAGGTCATGATCTCGCAGTTTGTGAGTTCGGGCCCCAGGTCAGGACCTGCTCAGAGCCTGAAGCCTGCTTCCAATTCTGTGTCTCCCTCTCTCTCTGCCTCTCCCCCAAGTATGCTCTGTCTCTCAATAATAAATAAACGTTAAAAAAATTTTTTTTAAAGAAATTACATTTTGGAGACTAAACCCTGTTGTATTTAAGGTCTCAGTCCCGTTGTGTGTTCAGCTTCATTCTCTTACCTCTCACACTTCAGTGTCTCCGGCTCAATTTTTGCTAACATCTTAACCACTTTCACCTGTTACAAATATGTCCCCCAGAACCATTTTTGAGTATATCTGTGAACTACGGAATTATATTAATAGCTTTCAGTAATTTAAACAATTCATGTTTCTTTTTTGTTCTTTCTTCCTTTCCTTCCCTTTTTCTTCCTTCCTTCCCTCCTTTCTCCTCTTCCCCTCCTCACCCTCCCTCTCCCCTTCTTCATTTACCATAAATAATCTCAACTCCCAGTTCAGACACTGTCCCTGTAATTGCAAGTGAGGTGAAAATTGATGTGGGAAACAAAGGCAAAAGAGAAAAACTTGAATTTCCTTACTGTCTATAGCCCATTGACAAGTCCTTGAAACAGGCAGAATGACCTTCCACTAGGAACTCAGCTATCTTGATCTTGACACTTTGCTAAATTCAAAAGGCAATCTTAGTTTAACATCATCCCAACTTCCAGGATCCTGTGAGGCTACTTTAAGCATATAGAAATTCCTTGGAAACTTCCTTTATCTCTACCCCACAACATAACATCTGAAGGGTCTCATGACTGAGGTTTTACTAAACAGTAATAATGTAACAACGGTTCTAACAGCAGCTAGCCCCCTCAAGGCCCTGGAAAAGTGTATATAATCAGTCACCTGTTACAATCCCAGTGCTGCTCTTTCTGCCCTTGGGTCCTCTCCCGGTGCTTTAATAAAACCATCTTTCTGCACCAAAGACATCTCAAGAATTCTTTCTTGGCCGTCAGCTCTGAACCCCAACATTTCCACATCAGAAGTCACTTCCTAGCAAAGAAATGAGGTCATGTTGTTCCAAATCTTTATTTCTGGGTTCAGATGGTCACTTTCGCATATTTACTGCCACCAGGATCACGTCAGCCACTGTCTTGGCACATTAAAAAGCATTTATATGGTCCTTTTCAGATGGGTGGCATATTCCTAGAGGGACATCAGCAGATTAGCCTTTGGGCTAAGAAGGATCATTTGAATTAAAGGGTGCTGCTTCCTAGGTTGGCTACCATCAGCGCCCCCACCCGCAAGAAAGCGCCTCTCTCCACCCAATAACCCTCCAGCCTCCTCCCTAGACGCAATCTGCAGATCTGCTCCCTGCCCCAGCCAAAACACCAAAAACCAACTTAAAACTTCCATCTACAAGGATTTAAAAACCAGCAAGGAAATACGAGTGCACTACGAGTGGACTAGAACTGACATTTGATGTGTCCACGTGGTTTTGCGGCTTTGGGAAATATCCACGAGAACGTTTCCACACATTTCTTTGACCTCCGCACACTACACTGGGCTGTTTACGACGAGCGAAGCCCTGTCCCATCCTTGGAGCCTCGAGGTACCATTTCCCAGTGCTTCTCGCGGGACTACTGAGCCTGAACCCGGGGCGGAGGGAGAGAGTTTGCGGGTCTCTGGGGCCAATTGCTCTGGAAAACTACATTGCCCAGAAGCCTCTGCGCCGTGCTTGGCGGCACTCTCAAAAGTGCACGGAAGTCGCCTGGGCGGGACTTCCGGCGTCTTCCTCGCGGCGGACATTTTGTCCGCTCTTGGTGGACCACCCGGAGTAGAACCCCGGGACCGCTGGTTCGGCCCGAGGTGACGGAAGCGGGAAGACACGCGGGGAGGCTGTGTGCCCGCTGCAGAGAGGCTCGGCGGTGTCAGCGCCCGCGAAGGCCCCGCTGCCAGCGCCACGCGACGGCTGTGCGCGGGTCCCGACCTGGGACCCCTCACGGCCCCGTGTGGTCCAGATTGTGATGGCGGCCGCGGTGATGGTTCCGGCCTAGGTGGGTACTTTGTTTCCCGGACCTTGACGCGTTTCGACCCTCCACTCTAAATCACGAAGCCCTGAATGAAGGGTGTCCAGCCTCCGGTGTTCTGAGCCGTGAGGGCATCTGTGGGAGGAGCCCCCATTTCTAACAGCCGTCGAAGTGTTCTTGGCCGAGCGACTAGCACGCGCAAAGCCTTGGAGGTGCGACTGAGCCACGAGGAGTGAGGAAACCGCGGTCCTCGCGTTTGCAGGGAGCGCAGAGGGCGAGTGGTAGCCCTGCGTGGAATGGCCGGGGTGCCGAGCGCCTTCGTTGCGAGGACGCCCGGAGCCGCGCGGAGCGTGATGCGATCTGGCTCCGGGGGGCACGCTTCACACTCGGGGGGCGGGATGAACCCGGAGGCGGGGAGACCGGTGAGGAGGCCTCGCCTCCAGGAGTGTTGTGGTGGCTGGAGAGGTTGCAGGTGGAGAAGTGGGATTCGCAGGGCTTCCAGCTGTGTGGGATGACGGCTGCGAGTGAAAGCAGGGAGTGAGGGGCTGTCACAGTTTCGTGTCCGGTTTTCCTCCGGGCAGAGTCCGAAAGAGTGGAGCAGAGGGCTCCTCTGAAGGAGTCGGGAGTCGCATTTAGGACGTGGTCTCACAGGGGAGGTGTCCCGTGGGCATCTGGGGAGGGAGCTGTGGTGGAGACCACGGAGGGATGGGGCTTCAGGTCGGGAGACCGGATTTGGAGAACGAATATTAAGGGTGTGTTTGTCGTCTGTGGTCCGTGGCGTGGGAGATCGGAGGGCGGGAAAGAGGGGGTGGACACCCCTCATTCCCTCCAGAAAGAAGCATGTGGCAGAGTCCCGGCTGCTTTCGGCTGGAGGAGGAGAGGGCTGTAGGGTGTAAGGAGTCTGGCCTGGGACGTAGGGGCAGGTGTGAGGGGCTCCAGATGTGCCACTGTGTGGACCGAGGAAAGATTCTGGGTGTGGGGCAGGGGCAGGCAGGCTGGGGGGCAGCTGTCCAGGGCGCTGGTGCAGCAATCCCCAGCTCTTGGGTTAGAAGGTCGGTGACAGCCTAATGAGGGCGTCTGCAACACTCCCCTTCAGAGGATGGTGTACGAGGTAGGCTGGCTTGGGGAAGGGGCCCGTGCACACTCGGCAGGCCTGCAGAAGCAAGCAGGTGAGGATTTAATGTAAATAGCTGTAAGTTTATACTGATGCTTAGTGATGGGTTGAAGTGCCTGCCTCTAAGTGTTTGATTATGATGGAAAATCTTAAATATCACATTTTCTTAGAAGCTGAAACATAAATCCCACATTTAAAAACCTATCCCTTCATTTGCACCCAAGCCATTTGGGGAAAAAAAGCCAATTCAGAGATCCTTGATAGGTATTAATGTGTGACATAAACAGCAGCCCAGTTAGGTGGGTGCCACCATTGTCCCTCCCTGCTTTGCGGGTGAGGACACTGCCACACTGGTCTTTGTTCATGGTCACACAGCTGGTAGGAGGCAGCACTGGGGGTGTCTGAGATGAGACATTCAGAAATCATCATGGCCAAAGGGCAGGGCAGGGGTAACGGGAGTAGTTGGGTCCATGGTACCCCCTGTGGTAACCTGCCGTCCCCCGCCGCCTCGTCCCTCTTCTGCCAGGGTGCTTTGATGGTAGAAGCACTTGGGACCTCTGCGTAGGTGAGTCCTCGGTCCTCATTCAACACACCCCGCTTGCTCATGGTCTTGACAACCCAGTATGGCAAATGGTGGTGTCTTAGGAATCTTCACCTCTGTTAAACTTGCCTTTGGGTGTGGGGGTGCTGGTGTCACTAATGGTCTTGCCTTGAATTTGATGCAGTGGCATGACGGGTGGAAGTGTCCCAGGTATAGGAACAAGCATGTGCGAAAACCTCACTCGAGGCTGAGCTGGGAGTGTTCAGGGAGCCTCAGGTCTCCATTATTTCTGGTGTGACCAGAGAGCAGGGGACAGAATTCAACTCTGGATCGGCAGCCTGTGGAGCTGGGCTTCTGTTTTGAGTGTGGTGGGAACCATTTAAGGTTTAGAGCAGAGGAGTGATCTGATTGGTCTTAACAGGCTTCCTCTGGCTGCACCGTGAAGAAAGCCTGGGGTGAGGAGAGAGGACTGTTGAGGCCTGGACTAGACTGGTGGTTCTGGAGGTGAGGGGCAGGTGCTTGATTCTGGACTTGTTTTTGTTTTTCTTTAAGTAGGGGCAACCATACTTTCCACTGTGGATGGTGAGAGAAAGGAGAGGAGTCAGGGATGACCTCACAGCTCCCACAGGTTTTGGCCTAAACATATAAGGATGGAAAAATCCTCAGTTGACATGGTGAAATTGGTGGTGGGAGTCTCTTCCAGAAGTAATATCAGGTGTTGGGCTTTGACCATGTTGAGTCTGTAATGACTAAGGACATCTGAGTGGAGGTTTCAGGTAGGCAGCTGGACACACAAGTTTGGATTTCACAGGAGGGATCCAAGTCGAGGGACCCAAGTCCACAAAGTGGGAGCCAGTATGTGGATTAGAGTAGAGCTGCATGTCAGATTTATAGAGAGAACCTTTTTGTTAAGGTGGCAGTGCCATTAAGGTTCTGGAGCGGGGTGGACACAGCAGAGTAGGAGTAGGAGTCACTTAAGAGACCAGAAAAGGGAGTTTAGTGTCCATGGTAGGGGGAGAGAATAGGGTCTGGCAGGTGGGGAAGTCCTCTGAAGAGAGTGGACATGAGATGGGCGCTGGGTCCTTGCAGTAATAGAGATGAGATGAACATGAGGCCGAAGCAGATGTCTGTTCCCTTTTCTGTTGCTTCCCAGGCTTTCGTGGTGACGTTCTGTTTGGGCCTAGGGAGTTTCAGCCAGGCTGGTAGTTTCGCTCAGAGGCAGATTGGGCCAGCTGCCAGTGACTGCTTGGGGTAGAAGGCCAGTGTGTGCAGGCTCTGCATGAGAATTTAGTTAAGGGTCCAGCCCAAGTGATGAGGATATAGCATCCTTAGAATACAATGGCAACGAAATGACATATCAGATAAAGGGTTAATATCCAAAATCTATAAGGAACTCGCCAAACTCCACACCCAAAAAACAAACAAGCCAGTGAAGAAATGGGCAGAAGATATGAACAGACACTTCTCCAAAGAGGACATCCAGATGGCCAACAGACACATGAAATGATGCTCAGCATCCCTCCTCATCAGGGAAATACAAATCAAAACCACACTGAGATACCACCTCACGCCAGTCAGACTGGCTAAAATGAGCAAATCAGAGAACGCGAGATGCTGGCAAGGATATGCAGAAACGGGCACCCTCCTACACTGTTGGTGGGAATGTAAGCTGGTACAGCCCCTCCGGAAAACAGTGTGGAGGTTCCTCAAAAAATTAACAATAGAACTCCCCTATGACCCAGCAGTAGCACTGCTAGGAATTTACCCAAGGGATACAGGAGTGCTGATGCCTAGGAGCACATGGACCCCAATGTTCACAGCAGCACTCTCAACAATAGCCAAAACATGGAAAGAGCTTAGGTGTCCACCAACGGACGAATGGATCAAGAAGAAGTGGTTTATCTATATGATGGAATACTACATGGTAATGAGAAAGAATGAAATCTGGCCTGTGTAGCAACATGGCTGGACCTTGAGGGTGTTATGCTGAGCGAAATAAGTCAGGCAGAGAAGGACAGACACCATATGTTTGCACATATAGGAGGATTAGGAGGAACTTAATGGAGGACCATGGGGGAGAAGAAGGGAGGAAATGGTGGGGGAAAGGGAGAGAGGCAAACCATGAGAGACTCTTGAATGCTGAGAACACACTGAGGACTGTTGGATGTGGGGGGGGGGTGGGCATGGGCACGGAGAGAGGCACTGGTGGGGATGAGCACTGGGTGTTATGTGGAAACCAACTTGACAATAAACTGTTTGTAAAAAAAAAAAAAAAATACAATGGCAACGGGGGAAGGGGCTGGGATTATCTGATGTCTGTATGTGGTTCTGGATTGCTGAAATTGAATCCAGGAATAGGATTTAAAAGCTGGGTTTAGAGATACGGCAGTGAGGACCATCTACTGGAGCCAGATGTGATCTTGGCTGCCTTAACCAAGAATTCTGCGGATGCTGTGTACAGATTTGCCCGTGGGAGGTACCCATGTTGGGGGTATTCACAGACATGAGGGAGGGGTGTTCTAAAGAGAGATGTGTACTGGAGAGGGACTCTGAATTCATAGCCTGGGGGCTTCAGGGGAGAATTCTGAGCTCAGATTTGTATGTAAGAGGCATGATCTCCGGACCAGGGGAGCTAGCTGGCAGAAGTGTCTGTCTGTCCCCCGCCAGTTGTTCTGGGCTGGACAAAATGATTAGTAGGAAATGGGGAAAGAGTAAGCAGGCTCCAGTCACACAAGGGCCTGGTATCTTGTCTGAGTTGGGGACCTGAGGAGGAAAGTGAAGGTGTGGACAGACCAGGAGTCCTGCTCCTTGCGGGAGAGCTGCTGCCCCCATGTTCAGTTGTGGATGTCATGCAGGGTCATGTGGCTTTTAAGGATGTGTTTGTGCCTTTCTCTTGGGATGGGTGGGGGCTACTTAAGAAGGCCCAGAGACTGTGTCACAACGCAGTGTTTTCTATGCTTTGCACTGACGGTCTTCCGGGGTAAGGCCCCCCCATACCCAGTTTTCTGGGCTGTGCTCTACTCTTTTCCCTCAGAGGTTCCCTTTTTCTTCCCAAAGCTGCCACGGGCACTGCCGTTTTCCCTCAGTAACAGGTTTTCTGGGTGCGGGGGTTCAGCTGTGTGAATTGTCTCCTTCAGCCGTTGCGGTCACCCTGCCTGCCCTTCTCCTGGCTGTACGTGTCTGTCCGCATTTGTGATACCTCTGTGCTCCGGATTCTACCCTTCCCTGGGGCCTACCTGTGTCACGAATTGCCATGGTGGCCACTGCTTGTGGGGCCCGTGGGGCTGGTCTGCACAACATTTCTGGTGTTCATTTTGTTATATTGAATTGTCGTTTAACCTCTTGTGGGTGGGCTGCTCTGGGCCACTGCTTTCCTACTTGCCCTGTCTTTCCTCTATTACTTGTTTCTTCCAGATCTTTTATGGTTGCTGAACTTAGCAGGGGAAAGAATTCTGAGTGCCTGACTGAGAGGTCATGACTCTAGCCATGGCAGGAGGGGCGTGGACAGGCCCTGGTGAGTGGGGGCTGGGGGAGGGAGCTTCAGGGCTGGCTTCAAACAGCACCAGAAACCTCTCCTGGGCACCGCTCCCGTTTGGTGCCCAGGTTATAGACCAAACCTTTTCTATCTTTTTCTCCTCATTCTGGACACTATATACTGAATGTTTCTGTTCCAGCCCCCAACCCAGGGCTGTCCACACCCACTCACCAGGGCCCTCTGCTGCTCCTTCTGCACTGCTGTCCTGTGTTGGTCATGCTCATGTGTCGGGAGACATACATACGTTCTTAAATTGTTCTTGAACACCAGTTGTTCATTTTAAATCAGATGTTCCTGGGCCTAGACATACAGCTCTGTATAGTGCTCACTAATCGCTCAGGCCCTTCTAAATGTCTTTGCAGAGGAGTAAATGGGATGTTCTTGTTGCTTCTCCCTGACCTACACCCCGTCCTTGGGTCTTTGTCCCTTGTGAAGGCTTCCTCATTGTCTGACCCTTTGAGGCCCAGTGTTGCACAGCGGCTTTTTCTTTACCCTGATCCCACATCTGCTGTCCTACCGCCGCCCCGTGGACTAAATACTGGACACGTTTGTGATGGGGTTGCCCCTTCCCCAAAGCCCCCATTCGCTTAAACAGCATTTTTCCCCGCAGGTTATTGGTGTGCAGTGGAAGATGAAGAGGCGCCTTCCCAGCAGACCGTCTCTGTAGGAGGGTCCCACGATAGCATTCCCAAGGTAGGTTCATCAACCCAGATGGCGCACCCTTGTGACATATGTGGCCCTGTCATGAAAGACCTCTTACACCTGGATGAACACCAGGAGGCACGCCAAGGACTGAAGCCTTACACATGTGGGGCATGTGGGAGACAGTTCTTACTCAGTGCAGACTTTCAGCAGCACCAGAAGCACTACAGTGTAGAGAAACCCGTGAGAAAAGACAAAGGCAAGACCTCATCTGTGAAGAGCTGTAGGGTTTGTGAGGAACCTCGCCTGTCAGAAAAGCCCTTTCCTTGTGAGGAGGAGCGGAGCCTCCAGGCCAGTTTGGACAGTCACCAGCTACAGGCCACCTACAGCAAGAAGATGAAGAGAACTGAGTCGGGGGAGGCTTCTCACAGCGGACAGATGCAGTACACGTGCGGCGAATGCGGGAAGACCTTCAACCGCAAAGACACGCTTGTCCAGCACCAGAGAATCCACACCGGAGAAAGGCCTTACGAGTGAAGCGAATGCGGGAAGGCCTTCAGCCGCAAAGCCACACTTATCCAGCACCAGAGAATCCACACTGGAGAAAGGCCCTATGAGTGCAAAGAATGTGGGAAGGCCTTTAGCCGCAAAGACAACCTTACTCAGCACAAAAGAATTCACACTGGAGAAATGCCTTACAAGTGTAGTGAGTGTGGAAAGTACTTTAGCCATCACTCTAACCTCATCGTACACCAGAGAGTTCATAACGGAGCGAGGCCTTATAAGTGCAACAACTGTGGGAAAGTCTTCAGACACAAATCCACCCTTGTTCAGCATGAGAGTATCCATACTGGAGAAAATCCTTATGTTTGCAGTGATTGTGGGAAATCTTTTGGCCACAAGTACACACTCATTAAACACCAGAGAATTCACACTGAGACAAGGCCTTTTGAGTGCATTGACTGTGGGAAATTCTTTAGTCGTAGCTCTGACTTTATTGCACACCAGAGAGTTCACACAGGGGAAAGGCCATTTGTGTGCAGCAAATGTGGGAAAGATTTTATCAGAACATCCCACCTTGTTAGGCACCAAAAAGTTCACACTGGAGAAAGGCCATATGAGTGCAACGAATGTGGGAAAGCCTATAGTTTAAGCTCTCACCTCATTCGGCACCAGAAGGTCCACACTGCAGGGCGGCTTTAGGAGTGCTTTCAACACAATAGGACTCCTATGGAGAGGGGCTGTGTGATTGCTCTTGGAGAGGAAGATACCGGTCAGATGTGGATCCTCATACATCTGAACGTTAGCACTGCGGAGAGACCTTAATGCCAGGTTCAGAGAAGCTCTCATGGGTTGTGTTGCACTTGCACACCTGCTCAGGTTCCTTGCCAGATTTGGCCCCCAAGGCCTGTGGCTGAAACCATCTCAGCTCTACCATCTTAGTTACCATATGTCCTCAGGGAAGGTAGACTTTGTCATCTCCAGTCCCTGGAGGGGATTATGAGAATCCTGCATTAAATAGGGTTCCTCATTCTCTCCCCACTGACTGGTAAAGGTGTGGACCTCACCCATCTTTAGCCAAGAGGACCTGAGCTGTGTTCTGGGGGCTTACAGAAAAGGTTTACTATCTTCATGGACATTGTTGGTCTCATGTGGTACGTGTGACACATTTTCCAGCCTCCAAGTCACCCAGCCTGGAGAACTACTTGTCTTCTTTTTTTTTTTTTTTTTTTTTTTTTTTTTATATTTTTATTTATTTCTAGGAGAGAGAGAGACAGCGCGAGCAGGGGAGGGTCAGAGAGAGAGGGAGTCACAGACTGAAGCAGGCTCCAGGCCCCGAGCTGGCAGTCAGCACAGAGCCCGACGCGGGGCTCGAACCCACGAACCGCGAGATCATGACCTAAGCGAAAGTCGGACGCCTAACCGACTAAGCCACCCAGGCGCCCCTAGAACTACTTGTCTTCTGTTGCTCTGGTCTCTGTGATAATAAAGACATTATTTAAGCCATCGTTAATCTTGGATGTTCTTTTTACTGTGTGGATTGGTTTGCAAACAATTAGGCCCTGCCAGCCTGAAGAGGTAAACGGTACTTGTGGGGACCTCCATCTTCAGGGGCCTCAAATGGAAGAGCAGGCTGGCAGAGAACCACTCTCAGTCCAGTTCTGGTGGTGCTGACAAAAGCTTCTTAGGTGAGAGTTCAGAGGTTTATTGGCCTGATTTTGTCTGGATTTCAGCATAATTTGAGGGTACAGACATCACCCTGAGGTGTTGTGGAAGGTTGCAGCAGCCTTCACTGTGTTTGAGAGCAGCGTGGATTGAGTGTCTTATTTCCAGCATAGGTGCCACGTTTCCCAGCACTGCTGAGGGGAAGCTGTTTCTGAGGACCTGCCAAGTGCCAGATTCCCCGAAGGCCAGAATCTGATCTGGTGCCCAAGTCTCTGGCTGCAAGACCTACAATCCCAGGAAGGAAACAAAAATAAATTTCACTCTGGGTGTGAATAATTGGAATTGGGGAGACTGTAGCAAATGAGGGTGGACGTGCCCATTTTAAAAACATCCACAAACATTGCAATCACTATGGCTGTATGAGGTCAAGATGCCTGGAAATTCTTAGGATCTCCAGGACTGTGTCACTCTCTGACCAAGGTCAGTGGCAGAGCAAAGAATGTAATGTTTATCTTGATCTTGTACCTCCTGGATGTAGATTTTGTGACCAGCCAGAGCTTCTGATGACTCCCTTGCAAACAGCCTCACTGCTTGCCAGTTTTTCTTAGTGCCAAGGAAGAGGTTCTCCTCACAGGGCATTTGGAGAGAGAGGGTGGAGTCAGTCTGGTTTTCCAGTAGAAGTGCGAGACCCGGATGTTGCATTGGAGTCATGTTTTATAGTTTCATTGAGGTGTAGTCAACATGCAACATACTGCACATGCCTAAAGTGTATGGTTTGCTAAGCCTGAATATATATATATATATAGACCTAAGAATCATCTAGCCATGCTCTTGGACATACCTATCCTCCAAAGTTACCTCATGCCCCTTCCTAATACTTCCTGTCTCTTCCCTAGGTAACCATTGATTTACTTCCAGTATGGATAAATGTGTCTTTTCTAGAATCTTCTTTATAGTGGAACCTTAGAAGTTTATTATCCTCTGCTGTCTTCCATGTAGCTTTATTTTGAGAATCACTCCTGTTGTGTGTATAAATAGCTCGTTCTCTTCATGGCTGAGTAATGCTCTGATGGATATACTGCAGTTTATCCATTTATCTTAATTGCCTTTTGTCCCCCCCCCCCAAATTCTAAGTATTCAAAACAAAGCTGCCACAAATATTAGTATAAAGTCTTTACATGGACATTTTGAGCTGAGGAAATTTCTAAACAAAGTGTTGAAAGTGTAGCCTTCTCTCTTACCATTTATGGTAAAATGTGATAGGGAAGAGATAAATGTAGGGAAGAATTATTAAGCAGAAAAGACCCAAGACTTGATGATTCGGGAAATTCTTATCCTATTTTAGTTGCAAAAGACATTGAAAGGAAGTGATTCATGGTCAGAAAAGCATGTTCTGGAGAACTAGCCACAGGTGTGGCTGTACAGCCTTCTGTAGGATCTCTGCTGGATCAGAAGAGCAGAGTATTTGGGCACATGAAATTTCTTTGAAGAGATTGTGACTTAGCAGGTCCCCTCTGCAACCAGGGAGCACCTAAGAAGGTCAAAGGCATCTCGTGGCCAGCTCAGCAAAAGTCAAAAGTAGATACGGGATCATTCAGGAGGAAAATCCATGGACCAACTCTTGTCTAATGGAGTGAATCTCTGGTATATACACAAGAGCCACAAAGCTCTTGAGAAATTCGTTCTAGTAGAAATAACATTGGATCTTAAAGGGACAGAGTATGAAATTAGGACCTCCGATAGTCTACACACATGAAACTGGCTCAGCAAATTACTAAATTGCAAACCTTTATTACCTGTCATGGAAAAGGAGGGCAGAGTGGAACCCAGGTGGGGAGCTGAGAGCCCAGTGACCAGAGCCCTGAACCACAGAATATATTCCCGGGCCTTGATACCTAAAATAGTTTGCTAAACTTGATTTCAAAATTCTTTGGGTACTTGTGGCTTTACTTATTTTTCATTTTCTCTCCTTTCGAAACAATGTGTATGTTGTTATCCTAGGTCTGTCTATTCTACCATTTTATTTTGGGAGCAGGTACCTTGTTTTTTAGTTTCAAAGATCCACAGATGGAGAGGATTTGAGCCCCGGGATGGATTATATCCAGACTCTCACCCATACGTGATTTAGACAATTTAGATGAGATTTGGGTTTGATACTGTAGTGGAAGAAGATTTTTTGTGATCTTAGGATGGGTGTAATATATTTTGCAAGTAGGACAGATAATGAGTCTGAGGACCAGACAGCGAACTGTAGATGGAATCATTCTCCCAAAGATGTCCATGCCCTAATCCGCAGAGCCTGGGAATATTCCTGTAGATGGTCATTGGGACTTTGCGTGTGTAATGTAATGCACTTTTTGGTGAGACTTACCAGGTGGACTCCATGTAATCACACGAGTCTTTGAAAATAGAACTTTTCCCAGCTGCAGGGAGAGAGGCAGACAGAAGAGTCAGATATGGTTGTATAAGGCCCTGTGATTGCCAATTGCTGGTTCTGAGAATAAAGCCAGGAGCTAAGTTGAGCACCACCCATCTGATAGCCAGCATCTTCAGTCCTGATTCAGCAAGATCAGGGCAGAGGATTGAGTCACAGAAAGAGCTCTTTGAAGAAATTCTATGACTTTGCAGATCCCCTCAGTACAACCCAAAAGCACCTTGGAAGCTTAGAGCCCTCCATTCTACAACCACATGGAACTAAATTCTGCCAACAACCCACACAAGCAGGATCTGATTTCCCGGAGCCTCTAGAAAGGAACACAACCTGCGGACTTCCAGGCACAGCTGGAGCCCCAGGGCCTGTGGGAGAACGCGGGCAGTGCACTGCATCAGAGGTGTGAATGCCAGGGTGGCACTTGCACTCAATGAGGCTTCGGTTCAGAGGAAGGAAGCCAGAGCCTAGAAGTCCCAGACTGCTGGCTTAGGGGTGGGGTGTCAGGTGGGCACCCTGGCAGAGGCCAGGCAGAGCTCGGGTGTAACTGGCTGTGCCTTTCATAACTGGCTGTACCTCTGTGGGCTCTGGCCTCCAGGTATGCCTGCATCTCCCCTCCACCCCCTGCAATCCCTAGCAGCCCGGCTCTGGGGATCTTCGTGTGCCCTGTTGGCCCAGCCTGGGAATTCCCTCCTCACCTAATGGCTCCTTCACAGCAGCGTTGACCTTGGCCCTCTTGCGCTGTCAAGACGCCCAGCGCAGGTGGCTGTCCTGGCCCTGTTCTGCACCCTTGGCCTCCCGCTCCCTCCATGGCCCAGCTTCCACGCCGGCTCCTGATCCTACAGTCCCCACACTACTTCCATCCTCCCCCTGTGTCCCCAAGGCTGTTTCCCTTGCCTGCTCTTGCACCCATGTCTACTTCACCCCGGTGTCTATAACCCACCTCCTGCCACCTGCAGCACCACTTGGTGCCCCTGTGCCTATCCCTGGCACCTCGAGGTTTTGGCTCTTCTCTGCCTCCTGAGCCTGCCGCAAAATCACTCCTCCCTCGCCCTATGGCACAGAGGAAACCCTGAAATAAGAAATGTAGTTCTGTTAGGTCTGGGGTGAGAGGAAGTGGTCCAAAGGACCCAGAAAGCTGGGGATCTCTGGGTGGTGAGGTCATTCTGGGGTTTGAGGGAAAACTTGAGGTTTGTAGTACCAGTGTGAACAAGAAGGCTGCTTCCCATTCAAGGAGCATAGGGGCTTTTTCCGTCACAGGTGTACCTAATTCAGGGTGTCTTACTGGGAAGACACTAAGTGATTTCCTAGGAACAAGTGAAGCTCCATCCTCTGGGCAGATACTCCAGTCTTATCATCAGAAACTGTTCTCACACCGTGACGATTTCATTCTCTGGTTTTCTGGGGTTTTTGTTTGTTTTTCTGCCTGGCAAAGATGCTCATTTATTTCCTTTCCTGTTTTCTGGTCAGTGTCTTTGGTCTTTGTTTCCAGCTGTTCAACAGGTCTTAAAATAATTCTTCCAGAAATTCAGGAGTAGCCCCTAGGACACTGCTTCCCAGGAAGGAAACTGGAATGGAACCTTATGATTTCCCTCCCTTATAGGCTGGAGACAAAAATCAGGATATAAGACTAATGTGACCAGAATTTAGTTGTAAACGGGTAAGGAGCTAGAGATTGGGGGGGGGGGTGTAACAAGGGAAGAGGAGAGGCAAAGAACTGAGGAGAGATCCATTGAAACTGTTGACCATGTCCATATCTATACAAGTGCGAGTGAAATATCTGAGGTTTAGGAAAGCACCACTAGAGGGCAGTATACTGAATAATTTCTGCAGCTCCTGTAGGGCTGGGTATCATTTATGTTCTCATCTGCCAGTGTGGAAACATCCATTATACTGTATACAGAACAACAGGTAGAATCCTGAGCAATCTATCACCTAGATAGTGGGACTTAGTTAAACACAAACTAGCTTTTGCTCTGGACTCAACTGAAAAGAATTAAAAGCAAACATTCAAAGGAAAACCTGCTACCAAGTACCTTTAGTAAAAGCCATGCCCAAACCTGACACTATTTAAAGGGATACAAGCAAATGCAGCACTTACCAATGTAATGTTTATCT